TCCTCCTCCTCCTCCTCCTCCTCCTCCCCCTCCTCCTCTTCCTCTCCACACACCCCATTCCCTTAGAGAATTGATGATGTCACCTTGTTGGGTCATGGAACGTCTGCAAAGAAAATAATCCAGTTCAAAGACACCAAGGACCCCACGGTTTCTTTCCTCTTTCTCCTCCTCCTCCCTCCTCCTCCCCACCCGCAAGCACTGCTCCCTTCTAGCACTGATGACGTTGCATGGTTAGGTAATAAAATGTCTGCAAGAAAACCACCAAGCTCAGACAGCACCAGGGACCCTACAGTTATTCTCCTATTCCTCCTGCTCCTGTTTTTCCTCCCGTCTCCTTCCCTTCTTCCACTCCACACAACCGCTTTCTTCTGGCATGGATGATGTTACCTAGTTAGGTAATAAAACATCTGCAAGAAAATGACCAAGCTCAGAAAGCATCAAGGACCCCACAGTCATTCTCCTCCTCCTCCTGCTCTCCTCTCCTCTTCCTTCTCTTTCTCCTCCTCCCTTCTTCCCCTCTTCCACTCCACACAACCCCTTTCTTCTAGCATGGACGATGTTCCCTGGTCGGGTAATTAAACATCTGAAATGAAACAACCAAACTGATTTTGCCTAGTTGGGTCATGAAACATCTGCAAGTAAACCACCAAGCTCAGAGAGCACCAAGGACCTCACAGGCCTCCTCCTCCTCCTCCTCTCTGCAACCCCCCCACTTCCAGCACTGATGATGTCACCTAGTTAGGTAATAAAACGTCTGTAAAGAACCACCAAACTCAGAGAGCACGAAGGACCCCGCAGTCATTCTCCTACTCCTGCTCTCCTCTTCTCTTCCTTCTCTTCCTCCTCCTCCTCCTCCCTTCCCCTCTTCCACTCCACGCAGTCCCTTTCTTCTGGCATGGATGATGTTCCCTAGTCGGGTAATTAAACATCTGAAATGAAACCACCAAACTCAGAGAGCACCAAGAGCCATACTCCCACTGTCAGCTGTCTGTCTTCCTCCTCAGATTCAGACTCCGACAGGGGCATGACACAATGGTTCTCAACCTTGGCTACTTTAAGATGGATGGGCTTTGACTCCCAGAATTCCCCAGCCATCCATTCTGGCTACCATTGGCTGTTGGGAGTCTCCTTTGCCTATGATAGCTCCCCCCCAAAATGGCAGGGAACCCTGATTCCATCTTGAGAAAGGAAAAGGGTGGAATTTTCTGGATCGGTCTTAAAGGTGAACATCTCTTTAATAATCAAAGTCCTCCCAAGCACCAAAAACTCCATGGCACTGGTGGTATTACTTAGTTGGGTAATGAAATGTCTGCAAGAAAACAACCAATCTATAAGAGCACCAGGGACCCCAAAGTCCTTCTCCTCTTCCTCCCCCTCCTTTCTGCAAACCCCACTCACTTCTAGCACTGATGATGTTATCTAGTTGGGTAATGAAATATCTGCAAGAAAATAACCAAGCTCAGAGAGCTCCGTTATCCTCCTCCTCCTCCTCCTCCTCCTCCTCCTCCTCCTCCTCCTTTCCACAAACCTCACTGCCTTCTAGCCCCGAAGATGTTACCTTCCTCCCTGCAACCGAGCTGGAGATCCCATCATTTCAAGGGGGCTGCTGGCTCTTCAATCTTCCCGTTGCCTTTTTTCAACAGAGCGACGACATCAACAAAGTGGCCAAGGCGGCAAAGATCGTGGAGCGGATGGTCAACCAGAACACCTTTGACGACATCGCTCAAGGTGAGGACCCAGAAGGCTGGTGGGACTGCGGCCTGAAAGGGGTTCGCTCGTTCTCCCAAAGGTGCTTTATTCCCCAAGAGGCAACTGGACTTTCTGGTTTTCCTCTGAAGACGTTTCACTTATCATCCAAGAAGCTTCTTCAGCTCTGACTGGAATAGAAGGATTTATACTCCTTGCAGACCGCTGGTCATTCGTCTACTTTTTAGCAAGTTGTTGAGGCCACTTGGAGGTTTGTCTGGGTCCTCAGGGTCACCTGAGTGGCGCAAATGGGGGTGGAGTCTTCTTGGAACGGCTGAAAGGACCATGTTGTAGACTGGAGGTAGATGAGGTTGTATCCCGCCCCCCCCGTTGAGGGAGGGCTCTTCAGTTTGGACACAGATGACCTCTTGGGACCCTCTTTCAAACCACCTTCCTCTCCGTCCAGAATCTGGACTTTGCTGTCTTCAAAAGAGTGGACTTTGCAGACCGTCCATGCAGATGGACAGCTGACTCTAGTCTGGATCAGTTCGTACTCCTATGTTGTGGCGCCATGCGTTTGTGAACAAAACAACCACTTCATAAACTCAGCTGACCCTGAGAGCACAGACAAACCTGCAAGTGGCCTCAACGACCCTCTAAAAGGATGCAAATGACCAGCTGTCTGCAAGGAGTACCAATCCTTCCCTTCCCCACCATCCAGTCCAAGTGGAAGAAGCTCCTTAGATGAGAAGCAAAATGTCTTCAGAGAAAAATCGGAAAGTCCACAGTATCCTCCTGAAATAAAATCCTCCTTTGGGATAACCGTGACCTGGATGACGGAGAATCTCTCCGGATTTTCACTTGTTTTCTCTCGCTGCTTTCCTTGGCTCAGGTGAGCCCTCGCCTCTGGGGTGGGATTCGAAAATTTTAACAACCGGGTCTGTGGGCGTGGCTTAGGTGGTAGGCGTGGCTTGGTGGTCATGTGACTGGGTGGGCATGGCTTGGTAGTCATGTAATTGGCTGGGCGCGGCCAACTCAATATCACTCACATCGAGGCACGCATCTCCTCGCCTGGCCTTTCGTGACTCTGGGGATGCTGCAACAGTCATACGTGTGAAAAATGGTCATAAGTCACTTTTGTCAGTGCCATTGTAATTTTGAATGGTCACTCCACACAAGCAAAGTACCAGCAAAGGAGGGGAAAAAAACTCCAGAGAGGTTCCTGAGACAGGAAGTCCAGTCCTGCCAAGAATGTAATAAGGGTTAACGGAGAGGCAGTTTCTGTAAGCAACACCAGAATGTTTCCTTCCTGCCTTCCTTACAGGATTAGCCCTGTAATTTCTTCTAACAACCGGTTCTCTGAACTGCTTAGAAAGTTAACAACCAGTTCTAGCGAATACCAACAAACTGGTAGAATCCCACTCCTGCCTTGCCTCCATTTCCAGTCCCTGCTGTCAGCCATAAGGGTGAACGACCACGGGGGCGCTTCAGGGACTAGGTCAGTCGCTAACCTTTTGGGGCTTGTGCTCGCATGCCATTACCCAGAAGGCAATGCACCCCATGCCTCCTGTGCATGCGTGCGCCACCCACGCTTCTGTGCATACACGTGCAACCTGCGGCGTGTGATCCACGCATGCGTGCACGACTCCCCCGTGCCCACTGCGTTCTTCTGCGCATGCATGAGTGTCTCCTACGCACCAGCACGCCCCTGCACAGGCACACCAAATCCGCAATAATCAGCTCTTGGGCAGGTGGTGTGCGTGCATGCACAGTAGACCTTTTCTGTGTGAGTCCTCCCCTGATGGCAGTGATTAAGCTCTGCGTGCCACTCCTGGCATGCATGCTATAAGTTCGCCACCATGGGACTAGGTCATGTGGCTTTTGAGAGATCCACCGTAGCTATGAATGGCCGTTAAGCAAGTGGTCTTAAATCAAGAACTACCTCTGTGCTCCTTCAAAGTCTTTTAATTCTGGGAGTTAAAGTCCAACTGACCAAGGTTGAAAACCACTGCCTATTTCAAAGGAAGTACTAACACCACTCTATAAAGCCTTAGTAAGGCCACACCTAGAATACTGCATCCAGTTTTGATCACCACACTATAAAAAAGAGGTTGAGACTCTCGAAAGAGGGCAGAGAAGAGCAACCAGGATGATTAGGGGACTAGAGACTAAAACATACAACGAACTGGGCTTGGTTAGTCTAATAAAGAGAAGGACCAGGGGAGACATGATAGTGGGCTTCCAATATTTGAGGGGCTGCCCCAGAGAGGAGGAAGGGGTCAAGCTATTCTCCAAGGCACCCTTGAAGGCCAGACAAGGAAGAATGGATGGAAACTGATCAAGGAGAGATTCAACCTGGAAATAAGGAGGAATTTTCAGACAGGGAGAACAATCCACCCATGGAACAGAAGTTGCCTTCAGAAGTTGTGGGAGCTTCATCCCTGGAGGTTTTCAAGAAGAGACTGGACTGTCCTCTGTCAGAAATGGTGTGGGGGGGTCTCCCGCTTGGGTAGAGGGGTTGGACTAGATGACCTACAAGGTCCCTTCCAACTCTGATGATCTGTTATGTTATATGTCCCTTATTGATTTAAGTTGTGCAATCACAATTGCCACACCTCAGTCCCCGAAAACTTTAAAAGTCTGTGCAGTTGTTTGCTAAAGCGGATTTTAAAAAGCTGTTTTGGCTTTGTCTAGATTTCAAGTACTTCGAAGACGCCTCCGATGAGTACCGGGATAACATGGGAACGCTGCTGCCCCTCTGGAAGTTTCAGTATGACAAAGCCAAGCGGCTGGCCGTCACCGCCCTCTCCTGGTGAGTGCCTTCTCTGCAGGTAATAAGGGGGGGTGGGGGCTGCTCTGCGGAAATCCACGCAGCTCACCTTTACACTTCAGCAATGGAAATGAGAAATAGAAAATGTTTCCTGTGGATGTTGTATTTGCTGTATGCACTTTCCCCCGTCCCTCAGGTCACGTTTATAGTTTTTGTTTTGTTATCTTCGTTCAGAGTTTTGCAGCGTTCCTTCGGCTCCAGAAAAATAAACACAGGTGGCTGATGCTTCATTTAACACCTTTATAAACATAATAAGTAGATTTTACAAACCAGTTGTAGATTTCT